CTCACACCACAGCAGTGGGTGCCCAGCAGTCCCCAGCTCACAGCATCCCCTGTGCCACCTGCACAACAATCCGAGGAGAAGAAAAAAAAAAAATGAGTGGGAAAGAACAACATACAATAGCTGTATTTTTGCTTTGCATTAATGCTTGTTTGTCAAGTAAAATTGCCTTCTCCGGGGGCTTAGAGTCCTGAAATATTGGGATATTTAACTGCTTGCCTTTTACAGTTTTCTTCTGCTTCTTAAAACTACTTGGGACCATTATGGAGATTGTTCCATTCCCCCTGCAGCACCATTGCTTTAATGATGTCTTCACAACCTTAGTGGATGTCCTTGGTACAGATTATAGCCCTGCTGGTAGAAACTTCCTGCAGGACAATGTTTAGACTGATACAATTGCTTGTGTGGGATGAGAAGTTCAGTGCAAGGGAGTGCAATTCATAGAGCACCATGTGAGCTGTGTTTGCATTCACACATTCTGCATACAGAGAAAAATTAACCATTAGGAATAATTGTAATTCGCTTGGCTATTTTTGTTCCCATTTCATTTAGAAAATGTCACAGGACCATACATCATCTGTGGGATGTGTATTACGGACCAGCATGAAAATCCCTCCGTATTCTGGTGCAGTTTCACCAGCAGTTTCCAATAACTCTGCTCATGCTGCAGAACATAAATAAGCTGTGAATGAGCCCAACTCTTCCCTGTGAAACCCTGCTCCAGACTGACCTCCTCCCTATGGTGAGGAGGAGGTCACACACCCAGCAAACAGCAGTCCCTGCCCAAGAAGCTCAAGGTTTGGGTCCTTCACTGAGGAACACTGCTGCAGAGGAAGAGTCAGGTGTGAGGTTTAGGTTTCCATGTAGAAAAGCTCTTGCTGCACAGAGAAGGTGTGGAGCCAGCTTGACTAATGCAGTGCTGGAAGTTGTGTCTGGATCCTTTACAGAGCAGAGAAATTAAATGCCCAGGTCCTTTCAGTGCCCTTCAGGAGCTACTTACTCATTATATGACTGTCACAGAGGTTTTGCAATACATCACAAAGCACTAACAATCATCAAGCTACTTAACCATGGAAAATTGCTTTAATGTTATCTCAATGGATTAATGAATGATTCATTAATTAATTCAAATTATTGAACACTGGCCTTGCTTTCCTGCTAGGCTAGAATGAGTCTATGCCAAATCCAAGCAGGATAGTGGTGTTTAAGCCAGCTCTGAAATCATGGTGGTCACAAGGATTCCAGTGCCAGTGGTGGCAGAAGCCACCACTTAACTTGCTGCAATGATGCTGAGCAAGGGAGAAATCAGGAGGCTGCTCCAAGCTGGAAAGATCTTTGTGGTAAGAAGGAGCAGGTCCCTTTACAGATCCAAACCATCACTGCATCTCACTCAGAGGAGACCTTTAGCCTTGAAGCTGTTTTGAACTGATCCTTGGCAGTCCCAGAAATAAAAGCAGATTTGCAGGCATATCTGGCCATGCTGCTCATGTGTGTGCTGATGCCTCGGCCACAGACAGAGGAGAATCAGTTTCTGATGCATAGCCATTGTGCTTTTTCATTTTCCAGGGCAGTCAGTAAAATCTGGGAAGCTTTTACATCCCTTCTTTCTGCAGAGTACTAGATTATTGATTCTATGCTAAAACCAACAAAAGCAATCCATTTGGATTGTTTATGAGAGGGCTACTAATGTAATAAATCACTTGATTCAGGAATAAATTCACTATAGTGTCAATCATTTAACTGGCCAGTAAGCCAATGATATCCACCAGGCAATGGTTAGAAACTCCGGGTGTTTTAAGCATAGCAGCCATACAACTGCAAACAACAGCTGAGGGGTGACTGGTAACACACAGGGAAGAGTTGGGTTGAAAGTTTCCATGTTGAAGACAATGTTCAATGCCTGAAGCTGAAGCTGTGTGCATTTAGACTTAAAACAAGCAGCAGTTTCTCCGCTTGGTGGGAGACTAAACACAGAAGAACGGGGTAGTCTTTAAAATTAGGTCTTTCTGAATCACAAGAAAATATGGAAAAAATCCTTCTCAAGTGCAGGAACATACCAGTGTCACTAGACACTTGATTTATTTTTGACCCTGAGAAGGTCAAAACAAGAGATAAAATGAAGGGACTGAGATCTCCTGACTGAGCTGAGACTTTTTTTCCTCTGGTGTACTGGGAGGCTCATGATGCAGAGTCTGCCATAAAAGCTTGATCTCACCGCACTGGAGGAAGAAAGCTCATGCACCCAGCTCTGCCCTGCAGCAGCCTGACTCCCTGGGGAAGCTAAGTCTCTGGAAAACACTGAAACTTCAAAAAGTCATGGATGATAACCTTAATCCACAGCCAGGAGGAACTGCAGCACTGGTTTTAATGGAAGCAGAATTAGATCAACCCCAGCTGCTGCAGAAGAGCTTCCACAATAATTGTTACTGTAATACAAATCTCTGTGGCACCAGTACATTGTTAACCATTGCCATAAAAGAATTCATTAAAACAGAAAAAAATCCTGGAAGGGAAGAAGAATCCTTTCCCTCCAGTACAGAGCAGTAAACAAGGAGGTGAGAGTGGAAAGGACTCACTCTTGGTCTCTTTGAGCACCACAGCAAACCAGCACATTCTCAGCTTTATCCCCTGCATCAGAAAGGAGCCAGCCCCTCTCCTCAGGGCCAGGCTGGCAAAATACAAGGCACTTTATTAAAAAGGAAGAATAGCTCCTAGTCAGTAACACCTCCCATCCCTTTTTAAATGCCTGGAGGATCAGGTGTGACACTGAAGCAATTCAGATGGGAGGAGAAATAAAGAAACTCACAACTATAAGGTGCTGAGGATCAGCCAATTATGCATGCAGGACTCTGTGTTAATTAGAGGCTTTTCAAGAGGAGAGTCAAAGGACTTTGCAGACAGAGATGGAAACAGATCTTAACAAGCAGTGATAAGTCCCAGTGTTGGAGAGGCATGTCCAGTTCATACAGGGGAGACTCCAGCTGAGACTATGCTACACCAGCAGCCACCTACCACCAACCAAGTGCAAGCCAGAGGTCAGTCCAACTGATTTTTTATAATATTTAAATGACTATTGATATGCTATTAAAATGAATAATCATGTATGCACTGGTAAAGGGTCTTTCCCTACATAATAGTCATAGCTCTTTATAAGAGCCCAAAAGCATCTGGGTCATTTGGTCACTCAGATGCTTTACCAGTGGCTCAGGGAGGAAGAATTGATTTTTTCTTAATGACTATATGTAATGTGGCAGCTTTATGCACTGTAGGCAGAGACCATGGCTGTTTAAAAGCATCTGATAATAGCTCACAATTGCAGCAGGTTTTTTTCCTAGGCAGAGGGAGTGCAGAGCAGAGACTGGAACAAGTCGTAATTAATTTTCTTGCTCTTTAGATATTGCTATGGTCATCTCCTTTCCTGCTTAAGTCAGGGAAGCTCAGAACATGGATGTGGATTTGTTTACAAGCATCAAAATGGTTCCTTTAATTGTTACATGCACCTTCTGAAAAAGGACACATGAAAGGCATTTAAGAATTTTTAAAAAAATAAAATCTGAGATTGAGCAAGCTCTTTTAGTTTATCCCCAAATGAGCACTACCTTTGAGGTAATTCTTGCAGTTTATTGCACTAACCAAGAAAACCAGGTCGTATAAAATGAGAGAGTCCATATTACCTGTGAAGCAAAAGTGCCTTCTCAGCAGACACTTGTTCGCTCTCTACTTGTCCTAGACCGTTATTTCACTTCCCCGAGATGTGCTTTGTGAGGAATACTACAGGGACCAGACATCGCTTTTGGTGAACTGTACTGCATGGGGCTCTGAGTTAGAAACAAGGACTGCAGGACTGCAAGCCTGGAGATGTGACAGAGGTAACATCCCCCTCACCCTAAACAGGTGAGCAGCATGGAGAGAAGTGCTCCTAAGAAGCACCAGAGGGGAAAAACTGCCCAAAAAACACAGGCACAGAAGATGGAATCCCAGAGCCCAACAACTGCTGCCCACCTGGCAATGCTTCAGCCCAATTTTGCCAGCAGCTTGTTTGTGCAGTGACACTTCAGCAATAAATGGACGTGGTTTTTGACACAATAAACCACAGAGACCTGAGTAGGAGCTCAGTCCAAACTGCACTGGAGCGCAAGTGTGACTGGTCCAAGTAATAAACCTTGGAAAGGCAAGCCCCAGTGTGATGCTCAGGACATTGCCCCAGGGCTGAGCATGGCTACAGCATCTCCTATAGCAGCTGGGGTAAGACTGGCTGGGTTTTACCATGTTGTGTCCCTTGGGACTCCATGTAGCACATCCAGCTACACCAGCCAGCATTACAGGTCTTGAGGGGTTACACATGACACTTGGGGAATCAGAGCATCAGCACCCACAGGTATGAACTGGGGCCTGTCTTGAAGTTAAGTCACTTTGTGAAAATGTAATTTTCAATATCTCATCAGGACTTCTCCCATCTGTTAAGCATCATCCCAGAGAGTGTGGTGACACTCTAAATGAAGCTGTGAAGAGATGCATTTGTTTTAGATGTAATTGGACAGCTGTTTTATTATGAGTTAATGAACTATGATGATTAAAAAGAATTCAGTTTTAGCAAACCATGTATTAACAATTACTCTGGACTAAAATCACAGCTAAGCAAGTGCTAGACAACTTTCATGACAATCATTGGGAGCAATGATTGGATTGGAGGCGACCTGAGCACCAGCAGCACCATGAAAAGCTGATCCTGAGCTGGGGAGTCCTGCATTTGTTCTTTCCACACTTTGAAGTTTAAAAGAGATCTTTGTATATGAGCTGGGCCTGGTGCCAAAGACCAGAAGCCACAAAAAGGAATTACTTTCTATAGGGGGTTCCCAGTTTGCATGGAGCAGTTTTTAAGCAGTGGAGTCTTTGCTCTGAGAGTTTCAGTGAAAAAGCCCTTAAGAGTTAAAGGAAGACAGGTCCATATGCCACATGTGCAAATTACTAATCTCCTTATATTAAAATAAATCTGTTCCAAATCATTGTGACTTCCCGACAGCTGCCTCCTGACCTTTCTCCACTTCAGCCCTCCATTTGGCCTTCTTTTCTGCATTCATCCTCAGCAGTGTCTGATCCTTCTTCGCAGCCTGGAAACAATTTGGTAGAAATCATTGCACGCACACAGTTGCCACCACTAAATTTCCCCACATCTGCACCACTTCCTTTGACACCTCACTCTCCTTTTTGATATTTTGCAGTGATAGAAGTTAATCTGTTTCCTTATTACACCATATTTTCAGCATTTGCAGCTCTGATTAGTAGGAGAATTACACTGTAAATTGATTACAGGTGCACTGGGACTTGCAAGTCAAACTGGAGACCCAGCAGTGGGGTGGGACAGGGAGAAGAGTCACAGCTCTTGGTGACCATGGTGGCATCTAGGCCAGGCAGGTAGGACCACAGGAGCCTCATGGCTGACAGATGTCAGGCAGAACCATGTTCAATTGACACTGAACTATTCCATTACCTTTGGCACAGCCTCCTGTTGAGAAACCATCATATAGAGCATTGCACTGCACAGGATTATGGCAGCATGGGTCAGGAGCAACATATTAATCAGCAGGTTGTGCTTTCCAATGCCAGTGTCTCCTCTGGAGAAGGGGTGTTACAGATCTTGTGCATACATTGCTCATATGTACATATTCTCAAATCTATCTGTCACCCAGGTGCTTATTTCCAACGAACATACATAGACCATACATTAAGTGAACCAATTCCCCCAGAAACAATACTCACTTCTTTGCCCATGATGATCATGGTCACACAGCCCAGCACAGTCAGTGCAATCATGATGTAGCAAACCTTTATCCTGGCAATGTTCCTTGCAGTGTCAAGGACCTCAGAGCTGTGGAGGACAGAGCAGACTTTCCATTCTGCAGCAACCTGTGTGAAATGAGATCATGGGGAGACGGGGAGTGAATGCTCAAGTCTTGCAGCTACTTCCTGTCAATGTACAATGGGGTTCAGCCTTCTTTTTCTGCAGCTGCTTAAAGGAGAACTGTAAAAATTAGCCTGTGGGGGAAAGATTTAGGTCAAAAGTCATCAGTAATGACAGGATTCAAAACTCCTGCTCTCCTGTATTCTTTTATTGTGTGAGTGAGTGAATGCCTGTAAAATGACAGGGACAGGAAAGGCTTTCCATTATAATAATGAAGGGCTGACCTTTGGGTGCTGCAGGGAAGGCCATAGGGTGCTGTGCAGCACCAGGTGACACTGGGGCCGTGCCACCAGAGCCAGGCAATGCCACCCTCAGGGAGCCCACCACAGCACAGCCCCTGCCAGGCAGTTGGCACCAGCCACACAAACATCTGCCTGCAGTGGGAGGCTGACTGGGTCAGAGCACACAACTGCACCGCCCAGGAGTTTTCTTCCCAAGCAGCTGAACAGCCCCATCCATCACTGGAAAATCTCCACCACCTTCCACGAGTAACTCCTGGCATATAACAAACAATTCATGTTTGCAAGAAACTGCAGCATGGCAATGAGCCATCCCTGAAATTATATCCAGCCATGGATTTACTCACACCTGCAAGGGTGTGGACAGCTGGAGGTGAACCCAGGATGTCACAAGTCAGAAGCATTAGGACTCCAAAACTGAGTGACAATTTAACAAAATATCTCAACAAGGAGGTGGTACCTCAGCCCATACAGGAGGAACTCACTGCACAAGTCTGTCACCAAAGCTGTATGTAGCCACAGCTTCTAATTAAAATTTATGCAGCATTATTAATCACTAATCAATAAAACCTAGAAAAGCGTGTAAAAACCCAGAGATTGAATGATATCTTGTCATGGTAGCTTCTGAGTTTCAAAGCCATTTGTCTTGCAAAAGATACTTCAGCTTAGTCTGAAATTTGTGGTAACTAAAATAAGCAAATCCAGTTTACCTCACAGGGAATGACAAAAAGTTACAAGAGTTACAATTATTTACAGCTATTTTTGGACACCAGCATGGGGGAGGTACTAACCCCCACAAAACCATGGGTAATGCAGACTGGGGTCTCAACCTGTGTGTTCACAGCCAAAAGAATCATTCTGACAGGTCCACTTACGAGATGTGCCTGGGAATGTCCTCCTCCTTTTTGAAGCGTCCTGACCATACTAGCACCTTTTTATCAAAATTTGTAGGCCTTCTCTCATTCCTGAAAGCTTCTTTACCTGTAAGAGATTTTGTAAAAAGCAATGAGCTAAGCTTCAAAAAGGGAAAAGAGCTGTTGGTACAAAGGGAAAAGGATTGAAAGTTTAAAATTACTCTTTTCTATTCTGTGGAAGCTAAATGTGCTTTCTAACGTCAAAAAGACTCAGCAGCCGGTGTGAGGTGCTTTGTTACATTTGCAGCTTATTTAATTTGACTTTCTTCCCTTTAATTTTGGTAGGTTTTAAACTAAAAATCTCTTCTAAACTTCCTGATTAAGAGGGCAAATGATGTGGGGCTGAAGTCCCCGAGCCCACAGCATCTCACCCTGTGAGCATCTTGCTTTTAAATGGCCCAACTAGTGAGTTAAGCAAACTGCCAGCAGCACAAGTAGCTAACTCCTCAACAGCTCCTCCTGAAATCACTGATGGAGAGATGATGTCTGCTAAAATGCAGCCTGGTGGGAGACTGGCAGTTGTTCTCATGCAAGCTGGGTACCACATTACTGCACTCTAATGATGATACATTACACCCCATCAGGCTACCACGGTGATGCCATTTGCATGCTGTCACCCAGAGCACAGTGAGAAAAGGACTCTGGCTCCTCTTGATGGAAACAAGCCCAATAACAGGCAACAACAAGGACAGTGGCAGAGAGACCCTGAAAAACACAGTAAGCAATGGCTAGCTCAAACCCTGGCTTTTGCAATGCACACCTGTACAAGTGGTCTTTGCAAGGGCAGCTGAGACTGCTCAGTACTTTCATCCAGGTAGGTGCACCCAAGAAGCCACACTACAATGCCCTGTGCTTGCAAATGTGGGGCTCGGGTTGGGAAATGTACAGTTGTGACCAGGATGGGCAGGAAGAGATGGACATGAGGATGTCTCTAGTCTCAGCATCCTCACTCCCTGCCTGTTGCTGGATTGCTGGTACTCAGCTGAAAGGAAATCACTGCTGCTACAGAACAGGGCATGGAGAACATCTCTTCCTACCTGTGTTGAGATGGTGAAATTATAGTAAGTGCCTTGGCCCTAGACCTGCTCATGTATGCCAGGACTTGTAAGTGGCTGAAAAATCCCAGCTGTAAATCTTGGCCCAAGAAAATTAAATTTAGTCTCCTGCTTCTCCTATTTCTCTCACAAAATGCAGTGAGACCAGGACAGCTACATCAGCAAGTGCCAGAATCAAATCTGCAGCAAGCAGTACACTTGCTAAAAGCACATGCTCCTTCCCAAGGAAGACAAGGGCAAAGCTCCATGCTGGAGACCTCTGGCCATCCCACAGGAGCACTGGCAGGCCCATGCAGCCCAGCTTTCCTAGGGTGAGGGATCTGCAAAGGCATAGCCAAGAAAGTGGTGGTGCAGGTTAAGAAGAGAAACTGTGTCGATACCAGGAAGCTTGTTCAACTGGGAGCAGCCCATGCCTGCTCCCTGCCTCATAATCCAGGGCCCTGCCTGGCACAAGCACACAGAGCTGTAGCTGTAATCTGGCAAGGAGCAGAGCAGGAAGCAGAGGGGAGTAAGTCCTCCACTTGCACCAGCCCTGCACACTCAGGGACACACACTGATCCTCCTCTGGAGACCTGGCAGCTGGGTAAGAGGAGGAACATTTATTTGTTTCAATTGACATATTCCCTGACATGAAGCATCAGTTGGTATTTGCTGCCATAGGGGAACAGCTATTTAATAAAAAAACCTTTACCCCTGTGCACTGTGCTGGTCAGAGCTCTGGATGTGCTCCCTACCCCAGGACCATTTGTAGCCCCAGGAGACAAAGCACTGCAATAACTCAGCCATGGCTGAGAATGAGGCTCATTTTCTCACCCTTTCCAGCAAACACCCTTTCCCTCCGTGCTGCAGCACGAAACAGTGACCAAAGGCTTTCTACCCATCTGGATCAGCCGTCTGCAAAGCCATGTCCTGGGCATTCTTTGCTTTGCTGCCAGCAGCTCTGGCAGGGCGAAAGACTGGCTGGGCCACCCGCTGCCACAGCGCAGGGCTGTGCCCCAGCAGCCTCCCCAGCATCCTGCCCTGGACCACCACTGCCCCACCAGCCTGGCCAGGAGCCCAGGAGGCTGCTTCTAGGACTTATTTAAGTAAAAATAGCCCTTCCTCTAAGAAGGGAGTAGCACATACTTCCACCCTACTGACAACAGGATTTGCTTACATCGTGATGACGAGTTAAATTTATCACCTGTGTTTACCAAAATGACACACCTGGGAGCTGGGTGGGCAGCAATCACCGCTGTGGCAGCTCACGCCCAGCCCCGACTCTGCCCCAGGTTCCCCATCCCAAGGAGCTGCTCAGGAGAACAATGATTATTTAAATTATTTTCTCAGTCCTTACTATGGAAGAACTAAAATAAGACAGTGTGCTGTATTTCCCCAAAGACAGGTTTTGTGAGTGCTAATTAGCACAGCTGGTTAAGCTGTTAGAGATCTTAATTGTTCTCAGCTACAAAATAATCTTGTAAATCAGTTGCTTTAAACAGATTTTCTGAAAAGGAACAGTGTTTACCACATCTCAGAATAAATGTGGTTTGGTGGCAGGAAAATAAAGTTGATGTCTGTACCTATAAATGCGGTATAAGGAGTCCATCTCACATGCAGACTGCAACCTTTCCTAGCAAAGAAATATACTTCAGATATGCTTCAGGTTTAAAACAGTAAACTAAGAAATTATAACAAAAACCTCAGCTGATGTAGTATTTGTCAGTCACTAAAATTGTCATTCAAATGTAGTGATACCTATAAAGATACCTCCACAAAGTCTGGATAGTGCAGAATGTTTTCCATAACACCAACTGTTCCAACCAGAGAAAGAACCACAACCAATGCTATTTTATCACTTTGACATTTCTCCTGCATTTTGCACGAAAATCTTCCTGATGGGTCAGGAAATGGAAATGCAAAATACTTGTTTCATTTCGAGATGTGGGGTATTTGCTCTCCTTAGACATACAAGGCCCTAAAGCTGATTTACAGGTAGGGAAAAAATTCCATTCAAAAGTGAAGAAGCAGTTGCCAAAAGGAAAAATTTCAGAACTATTTAGCAATGCTATCAAATGCAATATTGCAGATAATCAAAATACGTCTAAGAGCAAGGGGAGGGACTGCAAGGGAAGAGTACTGCAGGTATTGGCAGGGATATTCTTAAGGAGCTGAAAGGATGAAAGATGTGAAACAGATGCAGCTCTGGCACCGCAGCTTCTGCCCCTGTCACTTATAGAGGTGTTTTATATTTTTTGAGGACATGGAGTTAATGATACTGAGGAAAGAAGAAAATCACAGCAGTGACAAATGTGGTTTTTCCTCTTTCGTGAAAGCACCACAGTGTATCCGGACATAGCACAATGTGTTCATCTTAATTCACTTGTAATTTGGTAAAGCAAATTAGATCCATTTCCAGATTAGGAACCCATACAGAAAATAAATAGTGTTTTGAGCTTCCAGCTGCAAACAAGACCTGCAAACAAGAAGAAATCAGTGGATGTGATTATGCTGAAAAAAGCAGAAGGGAAAACTGGTAAAGTCAGAGAGAATATTTGTGTCCTGCTCAGGATTTCCCTGTGGTAAAATGGGTATGAGGAAAGATGCATTTATAGCCTGAAGTTTATGACCAGCATGCCTGAGCATTCCCACGAGCTTCCTTCTTACATTGTGGAAGAGCTGCTGAGTGAAAAAAAGGCATTGTACCTCCAGACATCCCTCAGTCCCCAAGCCAGGAGGGCAGGAGGGGCTGTGGGCAGTGGATGTGCTGCCTTGGTGCTTGTGTCACACTTGGACTTGTCTGGCCCCACAGGGGCTCCAGCTGTGCAGAACATTAGAGCATCTTCACTCTAACAATCACTCTACAAAATACTCATTGCAGAAATGACTGTTCTTTATGTCATGTCTGATTATGGATTTGAAGAGGAAAAAAAGAACATTTTAATATTATGTCTTAATTTCTCAAAAGGGAAGAAAATTGTGGGGGTTGCAGGCCTCTTGTTGCTTATCCACCTAGGGGTTGCCAATTGTTTCCTCTAGTAGACACACCAGCTAACAGCTGTATTAATCATGTCTGCTGTGAGCAAAAAGGCACTTCAGGATTTATTATGCCAGCATTTGGAAGTGCAAAGACACAGAGGTCCTCACAAAACCAAAAAGGCAGTTACTTGTTCCTGAATTTTATTTGTTTTTCTGGCACCATGAATGCTTAATGACAGGTTGAGTTTTACTGCAGTGCATGAAAGCTATAGACCCCTCTGTGTTAGGAATTCCAGCTTTCCCTTCAACACTGTGGATCTCCCTTTGGCCCAGAGCAACTTGGATCCCTTTCTGAACAGCAGAGAGATACAGAATGCTCTTGGACCAAGGTACATATGTGAGTAGCCTGATGAACTTTGATCTCCTTAGACATATGTTGTGCCTGTCTCAGTGCATGCACATCCCCTCTGCCCAGGTTACAGCAGGAGGCTCATCCAGTCACTCCCCACACCAAGCCATCACTTGATACTCATCAGTGACTCAGTACCTAAGTGCAGCCAGTATTTCCTAACCATTAAGTTCACATGTAGGGAGTTGATTGAATAGGAGTAACAACTTGTTCAGAGATACAGAATTGGCAAAACTGGGTCTACAGCACCATATCCTCTGCCTTCAGCATCCTTCTGCCAGGGGGGGAGCAGGACCCGACTCCTGAGCAAGCCCTGGGCAATACAGAAAGCACTGACTAGCTCTACAGATGTTGCCCAGGCTTCCTATGACCTCTCTGCAAGGAGAGGGCACAAATCTGAAGGGTTTTGAGTCACAAAGAACCAGACTAGCTCAGACAGAGCAGAGGATGGTCTGCAGCTGTGGTGGTGCAGACTCATGACATTTCTGATTTCTGTCTGAGAGTGATAGGTAGCTGCAACACTTGTTGCACATTGCTGCCAACACTGAAGAGTTAAACTAAATAGAAAACCTCACAGGACTCCATCCTGGTTCTGCATCCTCTTCACATCCCTTCTGCCACCTCAAACTCTGCTACTTCGGCTGCCTCCACAGCAAGGACTATCTGCCAGTACCCTAAACATACTCAAAAACCTTTGCAGAACTGGAACTGAGAGACTACCATACAAACCCAACTGGTGCTTCTGAAACTCCATTGCTCTGGCTTATGGCTGACCTCATACTGTTATTCCCAGTGCCTTAATTCTAATTATTGTTAGAATTATTGCAGCAATGAGAAATTTGGACTTCACTTGTCCTTCTTCTGCTGCTTTCAACAGCCATAGGAATGAAAGTGTTTATTCTTCCAAGAGCCCCAGGTTCCCACATCTCTCTTTATACCTCCTTGTTCATTTTCATAATAACACATAACTAATCTTTTTCCTCATACACAGAAAAGAATTCATATGAGTATTTAAAAAAAAAAAAAAAAGGTACTACTCTGCAAAGCTGTTTTCAGTGTCCTCAAAAACAAGTGGCTTACCATCCCACTCTGGTTTGCATGCCATGGAAACTTCTTACATGAGAGCTGTGATGGGGAACAGAAGATAATCTTATCTTAAAATTCTTTGCCTTCCCCCATCTAATTAAATATGCAGCAGAGCTCTGTCTTGGTTCCTAGACAAGATAAACAGCAATCCTGGATGGGCCTGTGGTTTATGAAATTCTAAGTGAGTCAGGAAATATTTTTTCCGTGCAACTGGATGTCCTCCAGCAGCACAACTTAACACAGCAAGAGCAAGGAATTGCTTTGAAAAATCTCATTCACCTGCAGACTCCCAGCCTGAGAGCTGTCCCTCCTCTCCAAGGTCCCCAGGGAGCAGCACTCTCAGGGCTTCAGTTCCCTCCAGATGAGTCACCTCCTCCCCATATCAGGGATTAGTCTACCCTAAGGAAACTCAAATGCAAATCCCAAGAACTGAAAGCTCCTTAACTGTTCCTCACCATGGCCAGGTCAATCAAAGGAACAGTTACAGCATCTTACAACAAAACCAAAACTTGAGGATTTGTAAAGAGTTCTTTACACAAGAACCAGTATGAAGCTTTAATCAACTCAGAAAACTTGGATTCATGTTTTTTATAATCTTAAGTGTTGTCAATGAAACAAAACAATGAAGGAATCCTTACCCTTTTTGTGTGTTAAACTCCAGCTTTGCTTTTAAAAAAATTTCCTCTATCCAGTACTGAGAGATCCTGCATTTTCTGCCAATATTGTCCCCATTCCTCCAAATTTTACAGTACCACTACCATTTGAAAAATCTTGCCTAGAAACCATAAATAAGATAATAAACCTTAGTATTCAAACAAACAAACAAAACCAAGCCCAAACTCCTCTGTCTCTGGTAAATCTTTCCCAATTCACACCATGTGAGCCTTTTGACATCAGTTTCTTTAGAGGAAAAGTTAAGACAAGAGGACCCATAAGCCACACTTGCTGTGTTTCCTTCCATCAGTTCTGTGTTTTTAGAGAAGATGCAATAGAATATTTGTTGGACACGGGAATACAGTTAAGAGTTGTCTTAACAGGAGCCAAATCCTGTGTAGCTTATGAGTTGCAGCTGGAGTCACTAATCTCTGCAAGCAAACACTGTGAAGGAACCTGGAATGGGTCTGAAGTGTCCTGGGTACAAGGTGCAGGGTTTATAACAGCTCATGTCAGAAGGACAAAGCTCATGGCAGCAAAACAAAAGTTAGTCATTGCTCTGGCAAAGCCCCAGTCTGACTTTTCCCAGGGTCTGGGATGATCATACAAAGGTGCTGGTCCAGCACAGGGCAACTTGGCATGTGCAGCATTTGCCTGTACATGGGCCGAAAGGTGAGGCAGCCCCAAGTGCAGCTTCATCATGGGGGAGCAGCCAAGATCACAGAACCCATGGAAAATCATCCAAAATATTTGGGATGTTGTGATGTAATCACAGCTTTTATTGCTAGGAAAAATAATGCACTGATAACTTTGCACCAAGTCACTGATTTCTGGAACGGTGCACAATTGGACTGTAGAGCAAAAATGTGTGAAACCCCGGAGAAAACAAAACCATCAGAATCTTAAC